ATCAAATGTCTGTGCTTTTCAAGGATTTACCTTTTATTTAGTGATCCTTCCAGGGAGATCTCTGCTCACAATGCGTTTTGGAAGTGTGGAAAGAAAGTGTTGGATCCGTGTGAGCATTCTCTTGGTGTTTCTCATCCAACAGCAGTTAAGTGATATGGTTATATGAGTGATCTGTCTAATGGGTAAACTGCCTCTGGAATCCAATGGATCCACGGTATCTTTGGCCTGATAATGAACACAGTAGATGAAGAAATTAAAGCACCACAGCAATTTAAATAATCCAGATACAACTGTGTTCCATCAGGGGCAAGGGACATTCCAGTAGAGTAGCAAATGCATTTCAGGGGTCCAAAACACCCCCGCCCCCTTCATCAGGGCTTAATCATGTATTTTAAAAGCTGTCAACCCAGCTCTTGAGAAGCCCTACGTATCCCCATCACAACACAACTTTTAAACTGCGGGCATTATAATCCACATACATGATTTATCTCATTAAGCCCTGATGAAAGGGGTTTATTTTGGACCCCTGACATGTGTTGGCTACTCTATTTGAATGTCCCCCTGACCCTAATGGAATAAAGTTGTATCTGGACTATTATAATTGGTGTGGTGCTTCATTTCCTACATCTACTGTGCACTCCTGGGAGTTCCCCAATCTCAAATCAACTAGAGGGGCACAGCTCTATCAAACTTTTCTTCAAGGAGCCCCATAAATGTTACCATTGCCCCTCCTCTGTAGTGGCTGATTAGATTTTAGAGTACATTTCTGACACTGCACAATTCTTGCAGCAATAATGTTTAGAATAGTGGTATTATATTTGTTAAGGTGGGCACACAAGACTTTTAGTGACATAACTGTAATGGAGAAAACATTCTAACGTATTATGTATTCTCCATTTTATGCTTAGCCCATGCATGAGATGTGTGTTTTGCTGACACCGAAAAAATGTTGTATTCCATTTCTTGTAGGGCTATTTACAAAAGGGTGAAGAGTTTGGAGAAGGCAGGAGAAGTGAACAATCTAGGACAACATAGCTGAACTGGAAAGTGAGCTGAATTGGAGAATTGTTCCAAATCAGCTATGTTGTGCTAGATGGTTCACTTCTCCAAACTCTTCACCCTTTTGTGAATAGCCCTGTTAATGTTTTATGCATTACAACAAGGCATGGTCTTGCCTATGAGGGCAGTATAAAAGACTAAGGCCTGGTTCACACCTGAACGTTTTGTAGCGCGTTCAACGCTCGACGAACGCTCTACAAAACGCTCAAACATCTAAATCCCATTGTATTCAATGGGTCTGGTTCACACCTTGCCGTATTTCCGCCTGTCCGAACGCGATACAAAACGGCCTACGCCCAAAGAAGTACATGTACTTCTTTGGGGCGTTTTGGACTCGCGTTTCCATTGGGATACAGCCAAGTAGCCCACGGAAACGTGCGTTTGTCGCGTTTTTTTTACCGCGAATCGCGGTAAAAACGCGAACCGCGCGACAAACGCGCATATTCAATACACCTAGGTGTGAACCCAGCCTGAGGCCCCATTCACACTGCGCGATTCGCAAATTGCGCGTTTGTCGCGCGATTTGCATTTTGCGCGATATCGCGCAAATGCTTGCATTGAGCAAGCTTGAATCGCGGCTAAATCCGCTCCAAAAAGGGTCCTGCTGTAGCGAAGCACGACCCGCGACAGCAGGACCCTTTGCCCCATTGAGAAGCATTGGAGAGCGATATTGCGCGGTAAATTGCCGCGATATCGCGGGAATTACCGCGCGATAAATCGCTAAGTGTGAACGGGGCCTAAGGGGGTTATTCCCGCCCAGTTGTTATTCATTGGCCGGGACCTGCTAGAAGACTCTGGCAGGTGCCTGCCAATAGGAAACAGTTGGGCGGAGCTGTCACTGCTAGCTCCGCCCTATTGTTTTTATTATTTTTTAATTGTACTATTTATTTACTTTTTTAATGACTATTTTCACTGATTTTCTATTCTGCTCTGCGGCATTCGGCTATTCAGTCACTGCCGTCCGGGCCCCTACGTGAATAGGGGCGAACGGCAGAGAGTGAGCTGCCGGACCAGATGTTGGATCGGCTGAGCTGAAGTCCTTCTGCACTTCGGCTCAGCCGAACATGCTCGAAGGCAGTCGTACAGAGCCAATGTACGGCTGAAATCAGCCACGCAACCTAGAAGTGAATAGCCAAACAGCGTTGGGCTCAGTTATTCACTCGGTTGCCTTCGGCAGCTTAGTGAATAACCATGTAAATCCTTCAATGTGACCACCAGAGGGCTCTGACTCAAAGTTGCATTTTAATTTCCAGGGACACTTTGATGCTAAAACTGTCATTAAAACGGAATAAAAATCCACAACAATCAGGTATACATTTATTGAAAATCAATATATTAAAGAACCTCTGGCATAAGAATCTGAAATCTGCCTTTATATTAGCTTCCCAAAATCTCTCAGGGCTCACCCTAAGACAGGGAGGTCTAGCAGGAAGAGTCCAAAGGTGCTGTATTGCACTGCTCCGCACTGTCAATGTAGTGTGCTTACAGGAGGGGGATGCACGGGTTTGACCCTATAAGTGTATTGCTGCTTCTTCACTGGCTACTGGCAGGACTATTGGCCCTGCATTGTACTGGATGAAGTCAAGTGCTTCTGACGGCCGCAACGCCTTACCCTGGGTTCACACCTAGGCGTATTGTAACATGCGCGTCTGTCGCGCGACCGTCACGCGTTAGTCGCGCGACCGTCGCGCGATTCCAAAGGCTACTTGGCTTATCCCAATGGAAAACGCCCTACAAAACGGCCCAAAGTAGTCCCGGGACCTTTTCAGGCGTGGGCCGTTTTGTAGGGCGTTAGGGACGGGCGGAAATACGCCTAGGTGGGAACGAGGGCATTGACTACAATGCAATTTATATTTTTGACCGTTTTGTAGAGCGTCCGTCGGGCGTAGGACGCGCTACAAAACGGTCAGGTGTGAACGGGGCCTTAGAGGCTTCGGGACCCGGTCGCATATTGTTGAGGGAGCCTGCAGGAGTCAGGGTTTAGGTACTCAAAAGTCCTTTTTACTGGTACCCTAGGCGTAAACGAGCAGTACGGGGAACGCCCACTGCAAATGGAGGAGTTTTGTGACTGTAATGTCTTCCTTATATTGTAAAGCGCTGTGCAAACTATTGGCGCTATATAAATCCTGTATAATAATAATACAAACAATCATCCCCGCACAGCTACCTCCTCATGTATCACTAGCCCCTCCCTTTTAGATTGTAAGCCCTCAGGGGCAGGGCCCTCCTTACCATCTTGTCTTGAATTGTATTGTGATTGTAATGTCTTCCCTATATTGTAAAGCGCTGTGCAAACTATTGGCGCTATATAAATCCTGTATAATAATTTTTCTATTTGTTGGGTTTCAGCTTTAAAGAAGCACTCCAGGAAAAAATGTAATTAACCCTTGCAGTGGGGCTACCCCTGCACTGCAAGGGTTAACTGCTCGTTTTTGTCTAAGTTAGAAAACAAAAGTTATACTCACCCAAACTGTGGAGCCAGCTTGCTCTTACAGCGGTCCTTCCAGCCTCTCTCCCCCTCCTCTGCGAAGGTCCTGTAAATCATTACGTTCTATACACAGTGTATAGATGTGAGGATGCCGAGGAACACTTCAATGCTGCAGCGTGGGAGGAGAGAAGCTGGACCGAGCACTGTGACAGCTGGGAGGCTTGGAGCTTCGGGTGAGTTTGTTATTTTTAAACCTAGACAAAAACCAAGCACTTAAACCTTGCAGAGCGGGGGGTAGCCCCAATACAAGGCGCAATCATTTTTTTCCTGGAGTTCTATAATGAGGCACTTCCTTTGCCTCTCACCCCCACACCTAGTCTAACCTAACCCCCCTCCCCCTATGCATACTTACCTTCATCCAACAGCTGCGGCCTTCAGTGCTTGTTTATATCCAGCGCTGCTACCAGTCTCGCTATCCTTTCCATGTCTGAGCAATACATTTATATGGGGCCATGTCCCAAAGCCTGAAGATAGCTTCATAGAAGTACAGTAAACTCCCCATTATTCGGTATCCATGGGGATTGATTGGTAGATTCTGGATAAATGTAGTTTCTGGTTGCTTGAGAGTTACTATTGAAAATAGGTCTAGCTAACGCCATACCCCATACTATACCATATCATAACAATATAATAACTCTGTATTGACGTCATAGTCATATTGAAATGCAGTACTCAAAAGCAAATAGACACACTTAAAACAAATGAAGACAAATAGGCACACAATCGTTTCCAGGATAATACATGCCACAGATCAGCAGCACAGTGCTGGCACAGAGGATTTTTTATCTGGTTAGATGAGAGTTTTTGTTAATTGAATACCGGATATCAGAGCGTTTACTGTATATGGCTCTATAATGTGCATGTGCAGCCAGGTGAGACCAGGATGTAAACAAACACCAGAGGTCACAGCCGTGGTCTCAAGGTAAGTACAGATGTGTTAGGGGGGGTTAAAAGAGATAAGTGCACTAGCTGTGGACATACTAAAGATCTAAAACAAGAGCTGACAGGAAGCAGCTAGAGACACTTCCTATTCCTATATGGCCGTCATGTAGTTTCACTTTCGCTTTCACAGGAAGAGCTTTTATGTGATTTTATAATAATAATATAAACCCTTCTATTAAGTCCAGCCCGTATACAAGGAAATCCATCGCTCGGTCAGCCACTAGTCCGTCCTGTGACCGCCGATTCCTCGGCCACTGCCTGCGTCACTCCGCCCAGATCAGCTTACAGGCGGCCGCCAATGGAAAGTGTCCCGGGAAGTCCCGGAGACTGTGCAAAGGTCAATGTAAGACCATACTGGGCGCAGAGTGCGGCTGACATGTAAACATTGATAATCATCATCATGTGAGCACGGCAGTGCGGACGTCAGGTGTCATCACACAGGGATCGGCAGTCACTGGGAGACGTCACGTGCCATCACACCCGGGTCAGCAGTCTGTGGGCCCCGGGAGACGTCACGTGTCATCACACCCGGGACATGGAGTGTGAGAGGTTTGATAGTCTGGACGGCTGGGTGGCGGTGCGCCCCAATGTATTCGAGGAGGCTGAACACTATAAGCTGGGCTTTATCGTGGCCTGGAACCAGGTGGAGAGTAAGTTCGCCGTCACCTGTCATAACCGGACGCTGCAGCGGAGGAGGAAGCGGCGGGAGGAGGAAGAGGACGAAGCCGAGGAGCAGGTCAGCTGGGCCGGCCTGTACTCGGTGCGGGACCTGGAGCACATCCACCACCAGATGAGCTCAGTGTGCGGAGTCCTGGAGCACTGCCTGCCCAGCCTGCCGGCACCCAGCCCAGCGGGCAGCCTGTGGACTCTGATCTTCCCCGGGGAGTCGTCATGGGAGGTCGCTCCGGAGGAGCTGGAGGCCCTGTGCCGGGCTCTGGAGCTCTACTTGGGGGCCGCGGTAGAACATTGCGGCCGTAAGATCGTACTGGACGTGCTGTTCCCGGAGGAGCTCCAGGAGGAAGAGCGATACTTCGAGGACCTGCACGAATTCCGGAGGAAGAGCCTGGAGGAGCGGGTGACCCGAGCCAAGGAGGAGCTGAGGAAGGTGCGAGCACTGACACTATACATACACAGGGGGCCGGGTATAGAGACAGATAGTGATGACATCGGTCTGGTGCTGGCCATAGACGGCTCGATTTTCAACCATAGGTGGCCCTGCAAGCATCCCCAGGGATGAGCTTTAAGCAGGGGCGTCCCGAGGCTGGGTGACACCTGGAGCGGTAACCGAGTGTCACCCTGCGTACAGGTCCACTACAGCTGTTCACAGATCATGATTTAGCCAGTCCACCTGCCAAAATCTCCATCTGTATCCTAGCAACCAATGACAATGTGAGGCCGGCATAGCAGAATTGGTTGGCACGCCACATAGCATCAGTAGTCGCTACGTTGTTATGGGGGCCACCAGCATCCTAGCAACCAATGATAGTGGCCATGACACTACAGGCCAGACAGCATCACTGGTTGCTAGGACACAAGAAAGCCCTGGGTTCAGTTCGCTTGGACAGTCACTGAACCAGGTTTTCCAGCTTGGTTTGTAGACCATCTAGTCGAACCGAAGCAAGGCACATCCAGCTCATCACTAAGAACCACCCAGCGCCACAAACATGGATTTAAATTAGACTGAAATGGATGGAAAATGTTCAGCCCAATAGTGACTGAATCCTGTCCTTGTTCTGGGTCAGTGAGAAAGTACAGAGGCCAGAGGACCAGCATAAAAACCAAGTGTATAGCATTGTCAGATCGTACGTTTTTTTAAATCACTTTACAACCATCGCAAGACTAAGGTCTTGCGATGGTTGTACAGTGTATGGCCACCTTTAGAAGGAAGTCAGCAATGACAGCCCCCATCTTTCTTTTATGACAGGTTCTCTTTAACCACTTGAATATCGGGTCTTTTTCCCCCCAGATTATTTTTTTTTTAATTTTGACAGTGATTTGGTTCCACACATTATATCTTTTAGGTTTTGTAGTCTACCCTATTATCCATTTTTTTTGGGGGGGGAGGGGGGGGGCAAGTAGGGCTTAAATAGGGTAGCACATTTGGATACATATATTTTAGTTTTTTGGGGAATAAATAGTAAAAACTAAAAAAACAACAACATATTTTTCCAGTGCAGTATTTCCATAATGTGTGCCCCTCCTCCCATACATTTACTGCAAAGTCTGAGGAGAATTAGATCACATTGGTGCAACTTAGATGTCACATGGCGGAATGGTAAAGCTCAAAGTGAGCGAATATGCTGATTATAAGGAGAGTTTTATTCCCCTTTCCAGGCTACATTGCGACACGCGCAGAAGAAAGAAAACCGGTTTGTGTAAATTGTTAGGATGACATTCAGATAACATTGTCAGGATGAGAGGGCACAGATTAGCATGACAATGACTTTTTCACAGGTGTACAACACAAATGACATGTTCTCTTATGTCAGCATTTGATGCTTGTACACTAAACACAGCTGTCATCCAGATGTCATTGTTGGGACCTAGTGTCACCAGAACATCCGTTGTCACCCTGGATAGCAGTATAAACCTGGGAGGGATTATGATCCTTCCCTACGCTATCTAAAAAAACTGCTTTGGCTGGACATGCACGTTAGGATGCTACTAGTGTGTAAGTCCCTGGGGTTGATTTACTTAAAGAAGATCTCTCGCTAAAAATTTGATTAACATTTACAGTGAGGCTACAGCTGCACTGCAAGGGTTCAGTGCTTGTTGTTGCCTAGATTCATAGGCAGCCGATGCTCCAAGTCAGATGAGTGTGACAGTGCTCCCTGCCTGTATCCTCTTTTGCTGCAGCAATGGAATGTCCCTCAGTGTCCTCGTGCCTTATATACTGTGGGAGGAATTTATCAAATCTGGAGCAGTTGTCCATGGCAACCAATCAGCATCTCTCTTCAGTGTGCTCAGGGAAGATTTGAAAATGAGACAGAGAAGCTGATTGGTTGCAGTGCAAATCTGCTCCGGTTTTGATAAATGTCCCCCTGTGTGTAGAACATGATGACTCCGGGACCTTAGACCACTGCAAAGGAGGGAGAGCGAGGCTGGAAGGACTGTTCTAAGAGCCGGTTGGCTCAGAGGATCAGGTGAGTATAACTTTCTTCATTTTTGACCCTAGGCAAAAACGAGCATTTAACACTTGCAGTGTTGGGGGGTGTTCTTTCCTTGCACTTGATTGGGTATTCTTTGCAAAGGGAGTTTTCACCAAGCAACATCCCTTTATAAAGTGGAAATTCCCTTGCAAAATGAACATGCTGTGCTCCTATAATAAATCATCTCCAATTTGTCTAGCAATCCACATTATCTCATTCCTATCAGGGATATAAGGCTCAATTCGCCTAAGATTCACTCATCTTGGTGGAAAGTTGTGTGAAAACATTTATATACCCACCCCCCATCCTTTCAGAAAGAAGTGTGGACGACTCCAACAAGTTCAGTTTGGTTTTTGTTTGCAGCTTTTGTTTATCTAATCTACCTTCAGTGGAATTTTAATATGAACTGAATGTCTTTCTTTTTAATTTTCTAGATTCTTCATCAGCATAAAAATGCAGATAAAATGATGTCTTTACTTAAAGTTTACGAGGAGGAGGATGAAGCTTTTATGGAATTAGTTACCGTGGCAACCCACTTTTACCAATACTTACTGCAGCCTTTCAGGGATATGAGGGAGCTTGCGATGTTATACAAGCTGGAAATACTGGTAGGGGATTACGCCTTTTATCTTTTTTTTAAGCATTTTCTGTTGGGGAATTCTTAAGCTCTGTTTTTAGAGCCGTTTGAACCAATTATAGTCAAAGTGATTTATACTTGCAATTGTATCAGTCCAAATGCAACCTGGACCCATTCTCAAGTCTTTTCTGCATAGCTTTTCTCTTATCTTTGGATGTGTTGATTAAAAAAGGAAACAAAGTCCTTACTCTGGTTGAGTGTTTCATTATGACGGATGCTCTGTCACCGCGAGAAATAGAGAAAGATGTTTTCTTTGTGGAAAATAGACAGAACACATCTATATATTCCTAACTGTCATTTATGCATGCTTTTATCTCTGTTAGCATTGTACTACTGCTATGTAAGCATTTCAGTTTGTCAACAGAAATGCAAAAGTGGGGAAGGGGGGGTCCTTTCCTTCCATAACAAATTAACTTTTCTTATTCCTAAATCAGATGCCATGTTGCAGTGAAAACTTAAAGCCCACGTCCAGGAAAAAAAAACTACCCTTGCAAAGGGGCTGCCCCCACACTGCAAGGGTTAACTGCTCTTTTTTTGTATAGGAGCATTGTATAAAGGACTTTACTTACCAGATCCCCGCTCCCCAACTCTCTGTAATGTGCCCAAGGTTTGCATCCTGGGAAGATTATATCAGAAGATCTGTAATTTCATGAGATCTCAGGGAAAGGCATTTTGAGATGTGCATGGTCACATGTCCTAGTTACATGCGCTAGAGTTTCAGGAAGTAAGGGCACATTACTAGATCTCCCTTTAGTAAAAATGGCCACTGTAAGAAGAATCGGAAGGAAATAAAAATAAGGAATGCAAAGAATAAAAAGCCGGCAATTATCTAGAAGTGTGTGTTTGTAGATTGTCATTACTAAACATTTCTAAAGGTGTCTTTGTTGTTGTTTTGAAGATATGGCAAAAATCGGCACACCAGAGCACACTGTTCACAGTTATTGTTTTTTTCAGCAGTGTCCTGGGGGGGTGCCTCTGTTATAAGCTCATGGTTGCTGAAGCGAGAATGCTGAAGGCGTAACGACTGGGCCAGCTGGAAACATTTCTGTTCCGCCGTATGTCTTATATCGGTGGCAGTGAAAGAGTGAAGGCAACAGGTTTTGCTTAAATGCTTTATCCCAAGCAGCATATATTTACCTAAAGCTGGCCATACACCTATAGATTATCTGCAGACTTTCTCTGGTCAGATAGAAAAAGTGCCACAGATTCCTCTATCTACACTAAACTGTGCGGATGGAGGAATCTCTCGCTGGGCCAAGCTTCAGTATCTTCCTTGTCGGCCCCGCTGGCTCTCAAAACACTTGAACAATGCCTGCATTCAATCGTATTTGTTCAGGTATTTTGACAGCCAGCGGGGCCAACTAGGGAGATACTGAAGCTTGTCCCAGAGGGAGATTCCCCCATCCACACAGTTTAGCGTAGATGGAGGAATCTGTTGCACTTTTTCCATCTGACCATAGTAAGTCTGCAGATAATCTAATCTATAGGTGTATGGCCAGCTTTAGGGTAGTGGGCTAGGGAGGGTCGATTTATATATTTGGCATAAATATATTTAATAACAAGGATCTTGTTATTGTGCACGTCATTCCCGCTCTACAGTAACTATTGGAAACCATAATAACCAAAATGTAATTTTTTCCAATTGTAATAGTTTGGAAGGATAAACAGTTACATAGATTCTAGTTAAAAGAAAAACATCTGATGGTGGGCTGGTTCGACTCTGCTCTTCTTAGTTGTTGATCTTGTAATTTTATTCAGATTAAAAGATAATTTGACCTATAGTTCTATCTCAGTGATACAACCCAGTTGACTTTCATGGGGTCATACACCTTTTTAATTGCTTCTTCTCTTTAAATGTTATTTTGTTTGTTCTATACACAGAAATCTCTTGACAATGATGACTTTGGCCCAAAACGTATTGAGGCATTGCAGAAGGAGGCCCAACAATGGAATACAAGAGCAGAAGAGGCCGTGCGCTCTATACAGGATGTGACTGTGAATTATTTCAAGGAGACTTCAAAAGCACTGGCTGGTATGATGTAGTATGATTAACTGTGCTCAGGAGATGTCTCCATGTTAGTATGACAGGGCTCCATCTGCAATATGATGGAAACTCATTAGGAAGGCTTTTATTTCCTGGTCTTAGAAGCAGGAGCTCCTCATTTCTCATGTCTTATATAGTTGGTCATGTTTTGGGTCCATTAGAATGTACTTGTATGACAGAATATGCATGTGCAGCACCACGTTTCCACTGTTTTGTGTTCATCATCATTTTGTGTAGATGTGTTGGTTATGAAATAGTGAGCCGTGTCTGATGCATGGATTGTAGACTCTAGTGACTAATCAGAATACTACCTACAGGTAATGCAGATAAGATAGTTCATCAGAAACTTTAAATCTGTGGTGAGAAAGTATGGCAGCTGCCATTGTGACCTCCCCTTCGGAAAATGCTAGTTCCCTGCCTGTCATGGCCATTAACTGTTAGTCATTAACCAGGAAGAAGAATGCAGATTTATAGCTAAAACATTTTCTTATCTGCATAATTGTTCAAAGTCAGTGTCTCAATCTACTAAAGCCAGAGACTGCTAGCCAAGTAGCATTTTCAGAACAAGGACAGCAATGGCAGCCTCCATATTACTCTCACTCCAGGCTTCCTCAGAAAAATAAATAAAAAAGGTAATTTTAAATACCTTACCTGGCTATTACTACTTGCAGTTTTCAAATTATATTGTCACTATTTAAATATGTATGGCAAAATGATTAAATATTAAAGTACACGTGTCACAAACCTGTGCACTTTAAACTGAACTCCTGGCCAAAAAAATGCTTAAGCAGATGTTACCTGTAATGCAAGTCAAAAGATCAAAGATCCTGAGATACAGGTATCTGGTAGAAAATCACAATTATTATTTTTTCTAAAAGTCAAGCTTGGCTCAGCCTCTTCCAGCTTCCCATGACTTTCTGTTCAGTCATGTGAACCATCATGTAGCCACTAATCGCTCAGCTGGCGGTCTCTTCTTCATGCAGAGAGCAGGTATTCTAAATGTGGCCATACACTTTACAACCCTCGCAAGACTTTTGTCTTGCGAGGGTTTTGACCGTACAGTAGGAACGGTCGCACGCCTTCCATACACTTTGCGATTATCGTACGATCGCAGGATTTCCCGTGATAATCGTACAGTGTATAGGTACCTTAAGGAAGACATCAGACTCTTTAACACCATGTAACAATAGCAGTGCTGTTATTGGCAGCAAGTCACTAAGTGGCCACTCACCTCCTGTGGCATCACTCCCTTGCTGGGCGGTCCAGAGAGATGTTCTTCTACTGCTTCCCCCTGGCTAACAACCATGATTCTGTAGCATTCATCCAGCAAGGAACGATGCCCTCTAGGTGAAGTGGTGTTGTACTTTTAAAAGTGTGTCATGGTCCTTATAATGCCATTAGGGTCTATTCACACTTTTCCAATGCGGCGCGTTTTCATTTTGAATGGCACCCCAAACGTAGCTCCAATGTATATGCGTTACAGCAGGCCACACAGCTTGGTGATTTAACAGTGTTGCACTGCATTTTCAAAAATGATACAGGTCCATTCATTTGACTTTGTTGTGTTAACGTAATGCACATCAACATGTGGAAAAACGTGCATTATCACAGATGCATTAACGCAGCTCACCAGGATGGCAAGGTCTGAATGGGCCCTTCTAGTCCAAGACAGTTTATATCTCTGCATTACATTCTGCTTTTGCAATGTTTTTTGTTTTTTTTTTCTTGTGTGATCTGGGAGTAAACAGCTTTATAGTAATATACCTGTGTATTTCCTGTAGCCATGCAGAAACAAATGGAACAGGATGGGAGGAGATTTGGACAAGCCTCATGGGCCTCAGCACTACCTAGACTGGAAAGGATAAAATCCATGTTGGCAAAAGAAGCACTTCAGCATATGAGATCAAAGGAGATGTGCCTGAATCAGAAGAGGGCAGACATCAAACAAAAAGTAAGATTCCTACAGGAATGCATCACATTTTTACTTTATGTGATCCTTTAAACGGTGCTGTTATTTCTTATACCTATATGATAGGTAACTGAAAGAAAACTCACTTGTGATATTTCAATAAAGTGCTTAAAAAAAAAAGCAAACCGTTCAAAGTGCCGGGATCAGTGCATCAGCACTGTCCCAACGACCACACATCAGCTGCTCTGCGATTTAGCTTATTGGCTGCTGTGAATTGACCAAAAGTGTTCTATCGGGTTGAGGTCAGGACTCTGTGCAGGTCAGTCAAGTTCATCCATGTCTTTATGGGCCTTGATTTGTGCGCTGGTGCGCAGTCATGTTAGAACAGGAATGGGAGCATGAAATTGTCCAAAATGTCTTGGTATGCTGATGCCTTAAGAGTTCCCTTCACTGGTACTAAGGGGCCAAGCCCAACCCCTGAAAAACAACCCATAATCCTCCGTCCACCAAACTTTACAGTTAGCACAATGCAGTCAGGCAAGTACCGTTCTCCTGGCAACCAACAAACCCAGACACATCGATCGGATTGCCAGACAGAGAAGCGTAATTCATCACTCCAGAGAACACGTCTCCACTTCTCTAGAGTCCAGTGGTGGCGTGCCTTACACCACTGTATCCGATGCTTTGCATTGCACTTGGTGATGTAAGACTTGGATGCAGCTGCTCGGCCATGGAAACCCATTCCATGAAGCTCTCTACGCTCTGTTGTTGTGCCAATCTAAGGGCCACACGAAGTTTGGAGGTCTGTGGCTATTGACTCTGCAGACAGTTGGCCACTTCTGTGCGCTTCAGCATGCGCTGACCCCGCTCTGTCATTTTACACAGCCAACCACTTAGTGGCTGAGTTGCTGTTGTTCACAGTTGCTTCCACTTTGTTATAATACCACTAACAGTTGACCCTGGAATATTTAGTAGCAAGGAAATTTCACGGATGGACTTACTGCACAGGTGGCAACCTATCACGGTACCACAATTGAATTCACTGAGCTCCTGAGAGCGACTCATTCTTTCACAAATGTTTGTAGAAGTGTCTGCATGCCTAGGTGCTTGTTTGTATACACCTGTGGCCATGGAGGTGATTGGAACACCTCAATACAATGATTTAGAGAGGTGTCCCAATACTTTTGCCAATATAGTGTGTGTGTGTATAATATATAATTTAACTACAATACATTTCTCTAACTTTGTTTTCCTCTTCTTTTTTTTAATACATTGATTACATTTAATTTCATACATTTGATAAAAAAATCTGTTGATCCAGCTAGTGACTACTCTTGCTTCCTAGTGGTGGCATCGGTCCTCGGTCCACAGTGTTGTCACTGCTTGTGGGCATGCTTTAAAAAAAGCCGTGTCTCCAGCTTACTCTGCTTTGCTTTTTCATGACTTGAACAGTGGGTGGGACCATTTTGCCCTACCGTGAATGGCAATGACAGGAGGAGCTGCTTTCAATCAGACATTCTTACCGGCCCGTCAGGTGGTGCTGCTGGTGATGTAGGGAGCCTGGCTTGACGAGTAAGAGTGTTTGACAGCGAATTCCCCTGTCATTGCCGGTAATGGCAGGCCAAATAGGTCCAGCCCATCGCCCTACCCGTTCAAATCATAGAACGAACAGTGCTGTTACATGGCCTAGAATAAAAGCATAAAATAAAGGTATTTGGAAGTATTTTTTGTTGTTTTGTTTTTTTACATTGCCCTACAGTTTGCTTTAGCAGGAAATTCCCTACCTAGATTTGTAAAAATTGCATTTTAAGTGTACAACCATTTTAAGAATTGGCACTTCAAGATTCCTTACTGAATAAAGGCACATGCACATGTACGAACCTCCTCCCATTACTATCATTCATTTGCAGTTTCAACTTAGAAATTCTGCATTCTTGGTGTTGAATAATGTTTTCATATATTAGTGACATGTAAGTGATATCACTTATTAGCCGAGTGTCAGAGTATATTGTCTAGGTTGTTTTATATGGATTACATTTGTTGATATATGCATTGATTGTATACTTGGCTTGTACTGACAGATGGAGCACCTGAGCGAGGGGGTTGGAGCCATGACACTGGTGGATGAGCTGGAGTTGCAGTACTATGAGACACAACTAGAGCTATATGATGTTCAGTTTGAAATATTGAAGTATGAAGAAATGTTGCTTACAGCAGAACTTGCCTCACTGCGGAGGCAGATGAAAGGTAATCAGTACTGTTAAGGCCTTGTTCACACCAAATGCAGACCAGATCCGGCCAGGTTTCTGCACACACAGTGCAGTGGGTTGTGCTGCGTTTTAGATGTGTTTTGGTAAAAAAAAAAATGTTTACGTTTAACATGGGCTTTCAGGCACTTGCATGTCTTCCCTTATACAGTCGTGGACAAGTTTGTTGTTACTCTTCTGCAAAAAAGAACCCAACATTTTCTCTGACAAGTATTTGGCATTCATCATTGTTCAATTCATATTTAATAAAAATCAAGCTTTGCTTTTGATTTAACAGGATATTTAAAAAAAATAAAAAATAAAAATGATATAAAAATGATAGGACCCTTTAAATATGAAGCCTCGCCTTGTATTTTCTAGTCATTTTAGAATATCATTGCAGAATAATTAGTAATTTATCTCTCTTCACACTTTCTTCACTTTACTCTATAACATACCAAAGGCATGCAGCTAAACATGAGGCAATTGCTTTAAATACCATTACTTTTCTGGAGGAATGAAGCATTGTTTCAATGAGCTGTAAGGGCACCAACAAATTTGTCCACTTTTGTACATGCAGTTCCTGGGTTCTGGTATAATATATATGAATGAAGACAATATCTACATGCCATATGAGATCACATAGTAAACAAACATCAGGAAAAAGGTCAACAGGAAGGGAATATTTCTGGTGATATCCACTTAAAACTAAAAAAACAATCTGGCCATATACAGCTGATTGTTCAGATATGATGTGACGCTTCTTAGCAGGCACATTAAGTGTGTATCAGGATGTGGCATTCGGCAAATCAGTTATACGCAATAGCAGATTTTATCCCTCTCTTTGGTATTGATCAAAAATCAGGCACAAACAGTAAAATTTCATATTATATACCTAAAGTGCAGACCTGGACATTTTATGGCACGTGGTTCGGAGACAGACCGATCGCCGACCTGCGCTCAGTTATGGCTGGCTGACAGTGGATGCGCCAACCTCCAAGGCCGATGCATCCACTGCAAGCCATAGCCCAGGGAAGGCCCCCTCCCCCTCAGTCATTGGTTGCTAGGACCGCTGCCGTCCTACCAACCAATGACGTCAGGTGTCCACCTCCTCTGCAGTCGTTGGTTGCTAGGATTGCTGGGTGGTCTTAGCAACCAGTGACGTCAGATGTGTTCCCCCCCAGCATTAAGGCCGTGACACACTGCACGCAAAGCTATCCGGCACGGAGCTTTGCGTGCAGTGTGTGAGCTGACTGCAGTCAGATGATTGACTGCACCTTCAGCCAATCGGCTCGTCCGTAACAACCAGCCAGCTGTCGCATACCGACGCGCTGGTTTATTCACGCGAGCCGATTGGCTGAAGTTGGAATTGTTGATCTCGGCACGCTCAGCTCCGCGAGCTCTCGCCAGCTGAGGTGCCCAGGAGAAAATGACATGACACACTGCTCGCAAACGCAGCGCGCCACCGCTCCGTGCTGCTTCGCCTGCAGTGTGTCACGGCCTTTACAGGAGGATAGAAGAGTATCTTCTTCCATCCTCTTCTGCTCCACCTCCCGGCCCCTCGTCTCTGGCAATAAAGTAGGAAAATAAGGTATGTGGGGACAATAATATAAAAGAGCACTTTAAAGGGGTCAAACAATGTAGGAGGGCACTCTTAATGGTGACAACTAATAATTAGTTGTCCCCATCAGGGTGCCCCTTACATTGGTTGCCCCCATCGGAGTGCCCTCTTACAATAATTACAAAAGTGAGGGGCACTCTGATGGGGGCAACCAATGTAAGGGGGCACTCTGATAGGGACAACTAATTATTAGTTGCATCATTTGGTGTGGCCCCTTCATTAGTTGCCCCATATCAGATTTAAAAAAAAATCAGTTTAAGCATGTTCATGTGTGCCTATGCACCGTCACAGTAATGTGTTTGCCCTGCACAATGTTCCTAGTTTTTCATGTGTCCTGTGAGAAAGTTAATTGCCCACCCCTGCTAAAGTGTATCTGAAGTCACTTTTTGCCTCAGTGACAACTGTCCCCAGGACAGACTGAGAAAGTGAAACTCCCCAGCAGGGACTCGGCAATAAAAACCTGACAGAGCTTTTAACACTTCCCCAGCCAAAAAGTTAAAAGAAAAGGTTTTGGTTTTAGGTTTTGGATTCATTTTACAAAAATATGAAATATGGACTGCTTTGTGACAATGAAGATCTGTGTGTGTGTGTGTGTATATATATCTATAGTTTTGTGAAGAGGTTTTTCTTCAAACCTGTTTTCTTGAACTACCTCTGGAGAGAAGGGGATGTCTAATCCCTGATACATGGCACCATGGCTCAGGGCATGCCTTTTGAAGCTTTCGCTTGTCAGTTGTTGAAAAACAAAATGTCAATTAACTATCTTGTAAATACTTGATGTTAATAGTCTCCTGTCTGCCTCCCTAATAAATGTATTACATGGATTGTATTTCCTTTCTTTTGTTGCGGTATTACCGTATTTTTCGCTCCATAAGACGCACTTTTTTTCCCCCAAAAGGAGGGGGAAAATGTGCCTGCGTCTTATGGAGCGAATACCTATCGCCCGACGCCCGGGACATGCAGTTTCGGGCGCCGGGCGAGTAGTTTCTTTTTGTACATTCAGCCCTGCTCCTGACAATCAGAGCTGAATGTACAGTGGGAGCCGCTGTTCGTTTAATACAAGGGATCTAATTAGATCCCTTGTATTAAATCGAGCGGCATCGGCGATCGTGTCCGCCCCCCGCCGTGGTTTTCTGGGTACCCCGTTCCTCTGGGGGACCATGACCTCGTCACGGTCCCCCATAGGAGCTCACCATAGAGCCCATTGAGCAGACGAAGAACGTCGTTCTTCGTCTGCTCCGTGTGATTACTGAGACAGCGCCACTTGTCTCAGCAGTCACTAACTGCAGCTTCTGTGACAGAATTTCTGTCATAGAATTTCTGTCACAGAAGCCATGCGTCCTATCGTCCGGAGCGTCTTATAGACCGCAAAATACGGTACATAGAATGTGGTAAAAATACATTGAAAAGGGAAAATAAGTAATGTACTTGCAATCAGTTATATCATCGTCGTTGTTGTTCTTTTCCTAAGTTTCACTTTTTTATTTACCTGTATCTCAAAATTCTTTATGGTAAACCTTACACATATATGTACAGTTCCACTGACAGGTTTATGGGTTGCTTTGAAAAATCACTAGAGCATTTCCTTCAGATTTCCATTTCCACTGTACAAGCATCTGTCATTCCCAGAAATTCAGATGATCTGCTTATTCATCGCTGCTTTGTCCAGTTGTGGTGTTTTTTAGGTTCCACCCCAGTCCATACCTGATTTCACAGGAAGGGCAATGACACTGCAGAAGAGATTGCTTTGAACATCTGCAAGCTGTAGATCTGGAGGATGCTTCCTGTGGTTTAGGAATGATTTTTCATGTTTTTACCTTACTAATCTCACTCCTTCCAGTCCTGATTTGTTTCACTTTGATAGATGATATTCTTTGTTTTTCTAATAAAATGCCTGTAGCAATCTAGCAAAGTCTGTAGAAATGGGGATGTAATGCAGTGGGCTTGATTTAATGTACAGTTACAAAGTGAATATTTCCTGAGCCTGGTAAGAAAGTTGAAGCTGTGTTCACTTCTAATACCTGATGATATTTAGGAAAAATCAAACACAGGATTTTTGCTTATACATGCTTGTCTGAAGTAAATCCAATTTCACCATATTTACTAAACACAGAAAACATTCATTTTGCAAAGGGATGAATCTCTACACCTTTAGTAAATCAACCCCAGCATGTATTGCAGTTCTGACATTCATAATATAAACTATCATTATCCTGATTTCTGTGATTGCAGAGAAGGAGGATGAGGTTATCTACTATGACACATGTGAAGATCCCCAAGAACTTCAGGCCTATATGCAGTCCCACAACAATAACACCTCCATATACCTGATGCTTAGAGGAAAAACACAGCAGCTAGAGTCTAAACGAGGGAAGATCTGTGCAAGGCGGGCATTGCTGAGGAATAAAAAGGTAGGCTGCACTTTTATGTCATCTCCGGGTTTGTTTTGGCACAGAACATCAGTCACTAACTTGTTTCTTGATGTTAATATCTCTATACTGGTTTTGTTCACTTGTAATACTACAACCTTACTTTGTCTCCTTGTTCATGTCTTCCTCCAGCCCATGCAATGACATAGGCCACCAAAAAGATAAAGAGCTTATAGATGACTCTAATATATAACTAAAGTACAGTTTTTGTATGGTAAATCTGGTCTTTGTGATATAGCAATTCTGTAGATTATTAAGCCAGTAAACAACATTTTAGAAGGAAGGTTTGCTATAAGGTAAAGAATGGACATATCTAAATAATGACAATCCCTGTCCTCATCTCAGTCTATGCACTGGCTGCCATTATTTACTTGCACTGTTCTTTGTCCTGAACCCAGTGTATAAATTGGAGTGTATGTTAAATCATTGAACACCTAGGAAGAAAAGGCAGCTCCTGGTCATAGAAATGAACTGCTTGTAAGGCTTGCCTATCTTTAAAACAGTTCTGTCTCTTCTAAAAAATCTGTACATAAATGGCTCCCTGCAAAGAAGACATTGATTACTCATCTCGCCTGCTGTCTGTGCTGCTGATTTTTGCAGTAGTGAAAAGAAATATCAAGCTAAAGATCCTGCAGAATCCAACACTTCAGGAATATCAGATTTTTGGTTCCCCAATGAACTCAGTGCTACAATCAGCCGTTCCCCATGTTACGACTGTGTCCTGTAGTGATGTTGGAGGCCAGTGGGAGGAGCCAAAGATACAGCGGGGTACCTAAAGATTGGCAGATGCATCCTCAAGATATAGATACTAGGAGAAAATGAGGTTGCCAACCCTGACTTGCTAAATCGGGTACGGTGCTCGGAAGACACCCTTAAAGGGATTGAAAGGGGTGGCAAGTAAATGGCAAAACAGGTGCTATAAATAGACCAGATCAAGCAGGGCAGAGTTCCTGATTGAAGGAAAAAATTCCACAAAGCAAGAATGGTTAGAGAGGGGGGAGTAATGTAAATATTTTCCTTTTTCCAAAGGTTTGGAGTGCAAGGTTTGGGCCTTTACTTGGTAGACTGGTTGATCTCCTCTTGTGGACCTTTTTTACGTCCACACTTACCTCTGAGAACCGTTTCTTCTGGGGTTTCAGCTCGGTGTTCTGTTTTGGTAACCTTGTTACGTTGTTGGTATATTTGTGCTTGTCAGGCACTTGCCTTTCTTCAGCTCTTTTTGTTGGTGCTGCATTGACTACTTTTTTGCTCGTGCAGGCTATGTTTCCCTTCAGCAGTGATCTCTTTTGTCCTGGTCTAAGCACCAAGTTGATTCTTTTTACCCTCCCGTAGTTGTTGTGAGACTCCCCTACCTTGCAGGGCACATTCAGGGTTATTCACAAAAGGGTGAAGAGTTTGGAGAAGACAGGAGATGTGAACAATCTAGGACAACATAGCTGAACAGGAAAAATGCTCCAATTCAGCTCCTTTTCCACTTCAGCTATGTTGTCCTAGATCAAGGGTCTCAAACTCAATTCCCTCGGGGGCCACTAGACAATATTTTTTCTCCCATGGGGGCCGCTCGACAAATTTCAAACTTTAAAATAAAATGTAACTATATTCGGTATGGTACTACGGACCCCAATACATACAATAAGGCCACATTCATATCTGTAGGTTTAGGTGAGATTAGGGATTCCTGTGTCAGAAACTTGCGTTTTCCTGCATCAGGAATCCCTAATCTGGTGTTTACAAGCGGCCGCTGTCACCCATTCAAGGTAATGATTAGGTGACAGCAGTTGCATGTAAACTCCTGCACACCGCATGTAATGATACTTGATATTACATTTGGTTAGGAATCAGTCACTCTCCCTGGATGCAATGATTGTGTTTTCAGGGAGAGTGTTTTCTAACCGCATGTAATAATATCGCATACGCATGTTCCTGATGCAGGAATCCCTAATTGCACCTAAAGATACAGGTGTGAATGAAGCTTAATACTCTTACTCGATACTCGTAATACTCATACTCATATTTTATATGTTAGTAGGGTCCTTGTGTGTGTGTTTTTTAATTCCTTTACTTGTATACATTTAAAGGAGAACTATGAGGTGAGTGATTTACACTCTTCCTCATAGTTAGAGCCGACCTGTGACATTGAAACCGTCACACTTTGACTCTATCGATCATGAAGTAAGCGAACACATACCGTTGCTCACTCACTTCCCGATCGTCTCCCTGCAGACTTTCAGTCACCGCTCCATGCAGGGATTATTATTATTATTATACAGGATTCATATAGCGCCAACAGTTTGCGCATCGCTTTACAATATAAGGAAGAAATTACAATCGCAATACAATTCAAGACAAGATGGTAAGGAGGGCCCTGCCCCTGAGGGCTTACACTCTTAAAGGGAGAGGATTCCCCCCTCCCCTCTGCAGGCACAGCTGGCTCGGCCTCTAGATAGGCAGAGCCCGTTGTCGATCATCCACCTGGGTGGATCTCGACAGTATTGTCGGTATCCGTCCTAGATGTGGCGCTCTCAATATATAAGACAATCATGCCGAGCTAAATAAGTACAATTAAGTGAAATGTGATGAATAATGAAATATATGAGTATATGCTTTAAAAATATATACAGAAAAGCATATCAAAACATGAAAGTAGGTGAACAAAGTGAAAAACACAAAGTCCAATGTGCAGCAATAAAAATCGTGCAAATAAATGCAGGGGATAATCCACCACTGGATAGATCCAAACTTCCAAGTGAGCAGTTGCCACAGAATCCTGACAGACCTTCACCTCCACCCAGTGAATGCAAAATTGGAACATTGCTCACCTGGGGAGATAGATCCAAGGAACTAGGTCTAAAAGCGCGTTTCCCTTCTTAATAGGAGGGAAGCCCGTATGACTGAAGACCAGGTGACCTCCTCGGCTCGCAAATAACATAATGTCACAGGTGACAAAAGGCATAAAACAAATATCCAATGGACACCACAGTACAAATCTATGGGTGCAAAGAGACTCCTATCCGTCCGGCTCAGCTGAGAGGAGTGACGTCAAATGCTCAGCCCTATGCACGTTACGTCTTTGCACGACCTCGTCAGGAGGCTCAGTATATAGCTCGCAATAGCCCGCTATATACTGAGCTTTGGGTCATGGGAGGACTAACGTCCTCCCGTGACCCTAAAGAGAATTATGTGGCAATGTCTGTGCAAACGGCCCCCCACCAACCCACTGACAAGCATTCTCAGCATTGTATAGCTGCCCTTTGTCACAACTGGCACTAAGATCCCTAGTGTCGGATGCTAGGGGGTGTGGTGACATCACCTGACAGTGCTAGAGCCTAGTGATGGGCTACTAGACCTGAGCACTGTCACATGGTACAGGCGCAATTGGAATTTTTGCTTGCTCTGGCAACAGGGCAGCGCTGGCAAGGTGAGTCTCAATGGAGGGGGAGGGGGTGCCTTTGCACAAACACGGTTACTTTGCCCTAAATGGCTTTTAGGTTCAAAATTTACACATCACCAGTAGAAAATGACTTGCTCATCTCTAACCACAAACTTAGTAAAGAGTGCTGTTCTTAAATTCCTTACTAGACATCAAATTAATTTTGGGAATTAAACCGTGGCCCCACACCACCCACCAGGAGAATCAGCGGTTTGATGTGTGTTTCTTTTAAGGCATATCATATTATTTTATTTTAGAAAAAGATTGAATGGTTGCCATGTTAGAGATTACATTAAAATTGGACTACAGGACCAATAGCATGTTAACTGTTGTGTGTTCTCTACTCCTGATTTCAGGATCAGTGCAACGAAACACATGAGCTTAAACTGAAGGAGTACCAGGAAACGCAGAAACGGCTAGAACACCATCATTCTATACAGATGGTGAGTACCCTGCCTATGACTATAGTTTGTTTTCATGCCAACCCATAGTGCTAGTAGAGGCTTCTGTTTAAAACTGTGTGTGGGAGACACTTTAACAGCTCTCTTTGTGTTACGACAGAAAAGAGACAAGAATAAAGAAGAGCAGCGGAAGAAAAAGGAGTGGGTCGATCTGGAACGTCAAAAAACGCTACTGCGATTAAAATCCTTTAAAGATGTGAGTGTTAAATTGCTGTTTTCAAGTTGTGCGCAGTCATGTTCTCTTGAAACAGAAGGAAATAAATGTGAAATGATGCAAGGGAAGTATTTGTTAATGGAACATTTTCCTTTGTGTGTCTTTTGCTGTAGAAGAACGAATCTCCTGTCGTACTAAAAACCTTGCGAATACAACCTCGGCTCCCCAGAAAATCTGAGAACTTAAATCCCTCCCGGGTAACAAAGACGATCAGAAGAGATCCAGCAGATATCCCTGTTCAGATCTTTGTAAAGAAGGGAAATGTTGAAGAGACCCCAAGCAATGATATTACTAAACTAGGCAATAATGTTCCGCCCCCGCCTACTCTTCCACCTCCTTCGGTGCCTCCTCGTCTGCTGCCACCACCACCACCACCTCCTCCACCGCCGCCACCACCTCCCCTACCACCAATGAGTGCTCTTTTGTCAGTTCAAGCTCCATTACCTCATTCAGTAGCAACTTTAAACCCTAGAGAGCCTGAACTGATGGAGGTTGAAAATTGGGATAGAAAAAGCACACCCAGTTCTCAAAAAACAAATCCAAATCAATGTATAGGTAAGATAAAATCTGTATTTTACTTTAATCTGTGGTACTTACTTTATAATACAAAAACAAACCAGAAAACTATTTTCTATGTAAATCTGATATTAAGGAAATTGCCTTTTGGATCCTTAACAATTTCATATGAGGTTTGTGATAAAAGAAAGAAAGACTAGACTGAGATTTAGTTACTGGAATTGAAGCAAATAAAGTACACTGAAGGGTCATTCCATACAGAACTGATATTTAGGGAATGTATGGACATTGGTAGGTTGAGTCACCCACTGGTTTGTTTAGTAAGGTAGCAATAGAGTCTTCCCCTGAAGTTTCTGGCTTAGTCACTCTTGCCATGAATCTTCACTCACCTATCAGTCTCAATAATGAATCGGAAACGGGAATTACACAAGGGCGCTTATATTCCTTCTAAGGCTTGGTTCACATCTGCACTACACCCGGGGCGCGCATCCCCAGTGTTGTGCGGTCCTGTACAATACAGGCAGCGATTTCCGCGCGGCCCCATTGATTTCAATGGGGTGACATCCGTGTGGCAATCGCAGAAAAAAGGTACAAGTACCTTTTTTTTTTTTTTTTTTCTGCGATACACGACACACAGCTGTTTTAGCTGCGATCGTGTTCGGAAGCACGGGCGAAATCCCGCACGATCTGCCCAGCGCAACTGGGGTGCCATTAGAAAATAATCACCCACAGCGTGATCGGTTCACACCTTGGCGACTCCTGACCGCGCGGCAATCCGCGCGGAATTGTACACGATTGCCGTGCGGTGAGGTGTCGCCTAGGTGTGAACCTAGCCTAAAGGCTCAGGGAATGGGGCTAAAATGTCATGAGTAAAACTTTCGTTGCTGGGGTCCCTAAAAGGTAGAAGGAGCCAGCTTGTGATTTACCTGCCAATATCTACACAATACAGAAATATGAGTTTTGGGTGGATTGAGCATGTGAAGGGTCTGCCCACCCAAAAGAGATATTTAGTTGTAGGTGGAGTCTGGCATCTCTGTGCAATATTTCCTAAAGGTGCCCATACACCTTACGATTATCGGACGATTTTCGTATGCGATCGACTTTTCATCCGATAATCGTATGTGTGCATTGCAGTGTAACTTTGCTAGATCGTACGATTTTCGTAAGGTTGCTGGCGTTTCCGTCCGTCAAAAGTCGTACAATCTACACTGCGCTTGCGCTAACGAAAATACGCCAAATCAATTACCGCATTTCGTCCAGGTGCTTTTTCGTTAATTACGGCTAAATTAATCTTCGGGGCAGGATGGGGCTTCTGTACAAAAATCGTAAGACTATTCGATCATCGGACGAAAAGTTTTGTCCGATAATCGTAAGGTGTATGGGCACCTTTACTCTATCCTTGAACACTTCGCTGTTCCTCAACACCTTGATGGAGCCCTGCACCTCCTCTCGAATGCTCCATAATATAAAATATATAACAAATTCTACAGTGAGAATGCAAACCACTGCTAATGGTGACATTAGCTGTGAAGACCCAAGAACTGAACTCAAGTACAGATAACACACCAATAGAAAGTGGTCCATTGTTTTAACTCCATCAACCAAAAATTGTAAATTAAGTATTTGGCTTTTATGCAGTGTTACATTGCTTTGTTTTTTTACATTGTTTTAGAGGATCCTGTCAGGAGTTGTCATTGTAACTGATCTGAAACACGCATGTTTATGTCAGGTCATCCTAAATGCACATGCTTGTACCAGGCCAGTCACTTGGTAATGAATCGGGTCTAGGGATGTAGGCTCTAAAGCATGTATGTTTAAAAACAAGGCAGTGGTGGCAGCCCCGGTATTTCTATCATGAGTGATTACCCTGGAAAAAGTTGTCAGTAAGGTAGTGCTCGACTTTTCTGGTAAGCTAATGTTTGGTAAACTATCATGATTTTTTTTTATTGCAAAAAAATAATTGACAGAATGGTTTAGGCTGAGACCTCCAACAGTCAGTGAGTGACCCCTTTAGTAGTCTGGGCAGATGCTAGCTAATCAGTACAGTAGTTTTGCAGAGACAGAATGGGCAGCAGAGAAAACATAAGATGTCTGAACACAATTGATTGTTTTTGCAGGTTCCATGGATGAAGTGCTGGCTTCATTAAAAAGAGGTCAAAGTCTTTTACGAAAAGTGGAGCAACCACAAACCTCGACTGATGTAAGAGACAGTATACTAACAGCTATCAGACAAGGAGTAAAGCTTCGGAAAGTACGCAAAGAAGCCGTGTTTAAAGATCCTGAAAATGAACTAGAGCGAAATATTAAGGCAGCCATGCAAAGGATGAAGAAAGCATCAGCTGACTCAGATGATGATGATGAGGAGAGCAGTGAATATAGGAGTGGTGACTGGGATGCTTAATATTCATGAATGATGAATAACGGTGTGTCTACAGTTTTAATGTAATATAACACTAAGTCTCAAAGCACTGGAGCAAAACAGCTAGTTGGCAAGTTATCACCATCCCTATAACATTCAACTAAGCATTGCTTTACTGGAATCGGATGGATGCCAAACATTACACGCTTGCATTTGTGAAGATTTCTAGTTCCTTTTTCATAATTTAAAGTTCCATTAGATGCCTTTTTTGACACCAGCAATTCTGGCAATACCAGATAACTACAAGTCTATAAATCAACGTGGCCTGCGGCCATCCCTACCTTATTCACCGCCTGAGTCGGCCAGAAGGGGGGGCAGCGGTGGGTAAAGCTGGTCGGGAGGCAGAAGCTGGTGGGAAGCGTTGGGTGGTCTAGCTGTCAGCCAGTTGGGGGGGGTTGCTGCTAGTCGGCAGTGCTCCGCACGCACACACACACCTGCCATCCCCCCAATGAGATGCCGCCTGAGGCTACTGCCTCAGACTGCCAAATGTTAAGAGTGCCCCTGCCTGTTGCAGACAAGACCATGAACTTGACTGGGTATTTTCAGCCCATTGTGGAGTGTCCCTGTGTGTTATTTCTGAGGTATGAGTTGTCTGTTGAATACGCATGCAGTATTGTTGGGGACAAGAATACTTATGAATGTGCTTATTGGTTGAGGAACTCTGGAGGTACTCTTGCGATGGATCCTTTGATGGTTTCCTAATGTCTGATCACCATATGATGTCTATGGGCCCTCTAAGCAGATTTAAACCCACTGCTTATTGTTTCTTAAGATATTTTATTACCTTGAATGCAAAATACATTACCACATCCTTTGAAAAGCTTTAGAAAAGCAGTTAAACGTGTGTTCTAAAGCTGGCCATATGGTAGCCTATCTGTAAGTCCACCATATATAACAACATTAAGAGGGGAATTTATCAAAACTGAAGCAGACAAACACTGGAGCAGCTGTGCATGGCGACCAATCAGCTTCTCTTTTTCATTTTCAAATCTTAACTGAACAAACTGAAGAGAGAACCTGATTGGATGTCAAGCACAGTTGCTCCATTTTTTGTCTGCTCCAGTTTTGATAAATTCCCTTCTAAAGGTGCCCATACACTTTACAACCCTCGCAAGACTTTTGTCTTGCGAGGGTTGTAAAGTACTTAAAAAAACCTACAATCTGCCCATCTTGGACAATTGTGTTAGCTAAAATAGCATGTTTATACCCATGAGGGGCGGGCTTCCGATGACTGCAATGCTGAACGACAGTGCGCGTGCGCACACCGGCCCGTTCGGCAGTCATCTCTCGTTCATGTTAAAAACCAGCCGAAAATCGTACGATTCTCGGCTGGTTTTCCATCATGCTCGATATATAAAAGTCGTGCAACCTTACAGTAGGAACAGTTGCACGCCTTCCATACACTGCACGATTCTCGTACGATCGCGGGATTTTCTGCGATTCTTGTACGAGAATCGTGCAGTGTATGGGCACCTAAGTGTCAGAAACCTCTGTGATATATAGCAGTATGGTGTCCTAATCAAGCTTGTAATAACCCATAAACATATTGATGCATTCAGCCAGTATAGAGTCACTTCATTTGAAATCAGGCTAATGACCTAAGCCTGCAGTTTTATTTTTGCTCACATCCCACAAGTTTTTTTTAAATTTACTCTGCATTCTGTTTGTAGATTTTCAAGCATTTGACTCAGTCAGTATTATTTTTTTCACGGTTAACCCAATACACACTGCTATATATTTTTGAGCACACTTCTAGCTATCTCTGTATGCGAAATATTAATTCTTGGTTTGCATATATTGCAATATGTGTTTAAGCTTGCCAACTGTGTCATAGTTATCTGTCTCTAGGTAATCCCTACTCCACCAGCAACATTCTAAATGTATATTTCATTTAACATGAACTTTTCAGATATGAAATATTATACATATAAAAATTCTGTCTAAGAGCAAGGACCCAGCAATGCGTGCTGTTATCTATATCTCTTTGTGTCCACTTGTTTGTTTGTAACTTATGTAGACTTTATGGTCTTGAGACCTAACCCCCATCATCCATCTGTGAACGTGTCTCAGGAGTTTTAACAGCTTAAAATGTAGACCGGTTTATTACAAATGGACATAGAGTATTACCAAAAGGTAAACTGTCTCAGTTGAAGCAGAACTATAGAGCTAGGTTTGCAGTGTACAAAAAAAATGAATAGTCGCTGCTCACATCTTCACACATACCATACAGAAACTGCATACCTAGATAACATGGCTTTATCATTTCCATATAGAAAAGGCTGCTATCTTCTCATGTACTGGCTGTAGTCAGGTCCTGACTACCCAATGGGTCAAAAGACCTCTAACCATCCACCATTCTTCTAAGGTCTGTGCATCTATAGGCAGCCAATTAGGCAGTTTTAGACATCATTTGATCGTAAAGGACTCTTGTGTAGGTTACTGGACTATCTGGAAATTCAATTCTTCCATTCAATTGATGACCCTTGTAGATTTTGAAAAATACACTTCTATTCTAAATTGAATAACCTGATCCCTGCAGGTGTATAACCCGCTTAACCTAAATATCCTCAATATGTGTAGTTATGAATGCTACAAATAAAGAGATATTTGGGATGCTGTATCATCTTTTCATTCATTTTTATCAATCAAGCTATTGACTTGACATTTGTTTTGATGTAACACTTTTTGAAAAAAGTGGATCACACCAAGTGTGGGCTAGACCTAAAGCATCTATTTTATTAGGTTTATCCACCCACTAAAGTTATATCAGTTATAAGGGCACCAGTCTATGGCTTATATTTTTGTTGTTTGTGTGATAGGATAGTTTTTTCTCAGCTTTGAGATAGAGATATATATATATATATATAAATATTATTTAACCTGACCAGGAAACTGGCAGGGGCAAAGCTGAATGTTGAGATGCAAGAAGCAGGTCATTTATATTGCAGGACTTATCAGTAAAAGAATAGCAAAACTGAAGAATCGGCACAAAAAGAAGTGTGCATTATACATCAGTAGGAAACCCCATTCATTTCAGGATTTGGTTTTTCTCAGCTTGTCTTATTTAAGTAATGAATTTCTCGTTTGATTGAATGACTTATATTTTGCTTTAAAGGCAATATGTGAACTTTTAATGTAAAATAGAACCGCGGGTGAAATGGCTGCATTGCCAAACATAGCGCCTAATAAACGTCACTGGTTGCTTGTGCAGTCCAGATGAGTCTAAAGTATTGCAAAAAAAATCTGTAATGCTAATAAAAGCCTTTAAACCTGCCATCAGCTTTTGTCATGTAAATCCACTGAAATTATTAGACTAACTGGGCCAGTTGTAAAATATTTAGCACACCTAACAATTATTACCTATCATGCAATATTGAAAAGGCTATCGGTGTACTACAAGCGAAAGCTAAATTCTTTGTTTAGCAAGCATCACACACAGCGTGTGTCACTTCCTTATACAATTGCATGTACATTATTCCACGGATGTGTAGGTGTATTGTGAGACTACTCCTAGGCATAAGATGACTGTATGTCATACTTTCACACTGCACCTTTTGCAGACACCATTTTACTGACCAATCGCAGGAATTATATTAGAGTGTTTTTTTCTTGGCAATTGCTATTGTTTTTCTGATATAAGGCCAGTGCTTATATAGGTGTTTGCTCAGTGTATAAACATGCTATTTTAGCTAACACAATTGTTCATGTTTATGGAAAGCTGTTTTATAACCTCATCTGTCCACCATCTAATGTCTGGTTCACCCACGCTTCTGTGATCCTCATTTTATAGGAGTATTTGGAGCCAATCGCAAATCCTGTGCTGAATACTAGAAAATGGGTAATGTCATAGGTACTCACAACCACAGCAAGAAAGCTTTTGTGAGTCAAATAGTCACACTCATGAATATTTATGTATGCAAATAGGGCAGCATAGCTGGCACATACTGTAAGGAATGAACAGAGAATATTCTATAAAGTGGAGTGGAACTGAGGTTTACATTTTCAGGGTTATTTGGCAAGGCAGAGATGTAAAGCATAGCAACCAATAAGAATTTCACACTACTTTTCTAACAATAACCTGAGATCTGATTGGTTGCTCTGGATAACTGTATTTTCTTTCTCATCCATTGAGGGACAGAGGTATTCAGAGACTGTTGGGTTATACTGTTGCTTGCAGGAAGATTGGGACAACCAAGTATAACCGCTCCTACTCCCAGCATGCCACAGTTTGCTATTGTCCTAGGACAGGGGTAGGCGACCTTGGCTCTCCAGCTGTGCTGAAACTACAAATCCCATAATGCTTCTGCCTCTGGGAGTCATGCCTGTGGCTTGCAATGCCGTATGGGATTTGTAGTTTCAGCACAGCTGGAGAGCCGAGGTTGCCTACCCCTGTGCAAGGAGGACACTTCTCTACTCTGCTGGGAAAAGGCTAACTTTGTTGCTATTTACCACTTTTTCTTCAATCAAGATTTCTGTTACTGAGCTGGTCTCTATACATCTAAAATGACTCAGTCTCTTCAGTCCAGAAATCACCATCACGTCTCTTCTGCATAAGAGTCTTTGGGTTGATGGTGACCTCCTACAGAGCAGCTCCATTTGCCCAGTCCACTCCACACACCTACAACACAATATCCTGTTGTCCTGGGACAAGTCACTCCAGTCTTTGGACGGACTGATTTATCCAGCAGTGAAGGCCAGGTTGTCTCTGGCCTGTTGGCTTAGGAATTGGGCTCTGGAGTTGGGGGGAGTCCTTCCTTCTGGTCTCCTAGAAGATCCTCTCAATAGATGTCAGGCTGGGAAGAGGTCCTCTGCACTATGTTGGTGGAGGAGACTCTGTCATCGGAGGGATCGTGTCTCCCAATTAAAAAATCATGAACTTCTGGCAATTTGGCACAGTCCCAGCGCGTCCAGCCGCCGGATACTGATCTTAACATCTGACCATCCAAAATGGGGGGGGGGCCGCGACGCACTGAAATGGGGGGGCCTGCCCGCTGGCTGAGATAGTATGGGGCTGGCCGGCCGCTGTGAGGAGGGAGCCGCGGAACAAGGAGGCACTGAAGACA